TTTTTTTTTAAAGAAAATTAGATATAGATATTGGCTCCCAAATTTGTTAAAAAAATTTAGTCGAAATCTTTATTAAATCGCCTGTAACCACAGGGCCGGCTCTGACCAGAATACAAATTCACCAATTGTCCCAATTTCAAAGCAAAGTTTCTAAATTTGGAAAATTCCAAAGGTTACTATGAGCCAGTGGTTTCCACAAATATCAGATCAGGCATCATCCTACTCTATATGCATAATCAAGACAAAAGACATACATGTCTTAATGTAAGTATAACACTTTCAACAACACCATCTTCTAAAATTTAGACAACTCTAACGTTTAATTAGGATAGCTATAAGCTAATGGTTCCACAAAATATCTAATCAGACAACATCCTTAAAGACATAAAAAGGGCTTTAATGTAAGAATTAGCATCCTTCACCTCACGGAAATTACAAACAGGGATTCTATGTATGCCTTCATCGCCACGTGAACACTCAATATCAACGGGGACATTAGGAAGAAGAAACCCATCGGACAATTCAAGATCTCTGTTATGTTCTTCTTCGATATGAACGAGTCTTGACCCAGGAGCTCCTTTGCAGTAAAGAAGCCGAACATCGGATGTGACATCGAAACCACGACCCAAAGCTTGGATCGCATTGCGAAGCGTCGTGGTCAAAGCTTCGGAACTGGGTACAGTAAAGTCTCCTCCTTTACGATTCTCCATGACTACTAATCTCCAAAGGAGGCGATGGTTGTTTACAGACTCGTCTAGGGTTCGTGAGTTTGAGGATGAAGAAGATGAAAGTTTTGAGCTTTTTGTGTTTTTTTTTAGATTTAGCTTCTTACCAACACCATTGCTGGTTTTGACTCCAATAATCGTAGAAACCGCGTTGGGGGGTTTTTTTATTTTATTTTTATTTTTTTAGTTTTATATATTTGGTTGTGTGTGATATCAAGAAGATTCTTTAGGTTTGACTGGTCTTGTTTTGTAATTAGATACTCTTTTTTTTTTCGTTTCCAGACAGACAAATTCTTTGACTTTCTGTTCTTTAGTTTTTTCCCTTTTTTCCAGGGTTTCCTGATACAATCATGTCTTGTTCTTGAATTCCAGAGAGCATATGCTTTTCTTTTCTTTTTTCGGGGAATATATATGACGTTTTACCAGTAAAAGAGTTTTGGTCAAAATGTTTAACATGTCTTTTGAGGGCACTAGTGAAATATTCTTTAAAGTAATGACGTGATAACATCATTTAAGTCTGTAAGAAAAAAATATTTAACAAAATAAATTATTAATTTTTTTTATATTTGTGTCATTTACATTAAAATTGTAAAAATATTGATTATATACTTCTGTTACAAAAATATAAAAATGCCATGTTTGTACACACCAAAAAATTATATTAAATTTGAAACATTAATATATCATGCCTTGCTGTTCTTCAAATCGAGTAGTATATGTTTTTCTTTTCGGAGAATATATAACATTTTACTATTAAAAAAGTTTTGGTCAAAAGTTTTAATATGTCTTTTTGACAAAGTACATTGTATATTTTATATATTAATTCGTATAGTCTTTATTAAATAAATAAACAAGCACTTTTTAAAGGTAATATTTACCTCTTATGTTATGTATAGTCAAATGTTATACTGATGTGTTAACACCGTTGAGTATAGGGTTGATATTTATATACTCAAATCTATATGTTGTAACATTCATTAATAATTTAAATATTAATTATGTATTTTCCCTCAATTAATTATGAATTATGTTTTGTTGCAAATATATGATTCCACTTCTTTTGATTAAGAAAGCTGTTGTAATTAAAACATTAATAAACTACTATTGTAATTACAGTTTTAGATCATCTCCAAACTTTACTCTATTTTTTATTATAAAATAGAATTAATTTGGAGTAAAATAATTCAAGTTTACTATATTTTCATTCAATAACACTATATTTGAGTAAAAATAAGTTTATCCTATAAACAGAATGATTTATTTTATTTTTTATTTATCATTCTATTTTTTACTCTAAGATATATATCATTGGAGTATAACATAACTTTATTTTAGTCACTCTATTCTAGAGAAAAAATAGAATGATTTATTTAAAATGGTCTGAAAGAATTATCAAATTTAATGAAAATAGACAAATACCTGATAATACCAAGTATAACGTTTCTATGGAGACAGATGATAACAAATAGATATTACTTTTTTTTGGGTCAACTCAAATAGAGTACTTTATCCCTGGAAATGTATTTTACTCGACATTTTTCCGATTTTTTAGTTGTGAATGTTTCATCAGCCGCCTATAATGTTTCATCAATGTCTTTAGCTTTAGTTTGACATTTGCAATATCTAACTGGAGAATGGAGATCATATCTATGCCACTACATATAATATGATTAAATCAAAAGCATTAGTTATTAGTGACTTATTACTTATTCCACGTTCTCTCATTGTATATGGTTTGACTGGATTTGCAATTGGGTTGTGGAGGACTAATACAATTAGTATTGTGCACATTGCAGAGATTAACATTTTGCTAATGGTTTTTCATCTTAGGAAAACTAAGTAATTGATTGCCCATGAACTTAAATGGATGGCTAACCAGTAAACGAAGACCACACAACATGCAAGTTAACAACACTTTTCCGATTTTAATTTCATAAAAAAGAAAAAATAACACATGAAGATAATATTAATCATCGTTCATTATAGGAAAACAAAACGACAATGCCTAATATATTTACATGTATGTATACATCCTCATGTTCATGTACCATTCATTGCATTCTAAACGTCTGATGAAGGAGCCAAGATCTCTAGCGGCACGCCTGCTATGGGGTCCAACACTTGAGCTTTTGGGAGCTCTCTTGACAACAATTCCTGCATCCACAAACCACACAACAAGCCATTATCACCATTGATCTTAAATAAAACAAATTGATTATGTTAATTTTGTGGTTAAGAAAGCTGCACCTTAAATGATTCTATGGTTCCTTCCTTCTTTATAATACTTGCTAAAATCCCCTTTGCATCAAGATCTCCATTTTGCATCGGCACAACAAACCTACAGTCCAAGTAATGCAAGAGTGCTATATACATTTTCTTGAGGCTACATAGATAAACCAAAGAGAAAGAGATGATTATTTACTTGGCTTTTAAGATTTTGGCGAGCTGGACAGCGTCTTCTTGGCCAGAAACTAGAGTAAATTGTGGGAGAAGTTGTTTGATGACCGGAGTGATTACAATGTCTGCTCTTTCATTCTTCAGAAGTTCCATGTTGCATACACAATGCGGTTCGTAGTAGAGAGATATCTGATCTTCAGGGGAAGCAAGAAGATACCTGAGAACAAAACAGAAACATAAATCAATAACCATAATAAGTTTGGTAGCTTGATGAGAGTTAGTTACCCGTTTTCAGGGCGCTGCCATGGTGGACCGAGGACAGGTCCTGTTGTGGCTTTAACTCGAACCTTAGAACCGTTTCTTGCATTTAGCTCGTAGCTCTCTCCAGGTTCCAGATAAGTGACCTAACCACAGTAAATCAATCTTTCTCTATTTTTAATTATGAATAGGGATGAGGAAATGAGACTTAAGGAAAATGAAACAATTCGCTTACATTTCTGAAAAGTGGATCCAGTAAAGGCTTTGCATTTGGAGTTGCAATAACTTTTATGTCTGGAGATTTCTGAGAAAGTGGCCTAAGGGTATTTAGATGACAATGGTCATCAAGGCTTTGAGTTATGAGCAGGCAATCAACTTCAGGGAGATCATCAAGCTGCATTCAAATATAAAAATCTTAGAAACTGATAATCACAATGAGAGATAAGATGATGAAACTGCAATGCAAGACAGGGAGAGATCTCAGCTATTTTATTATATGAATATAATTATGAATAGAGAACAAGTGTTACCTTGAAGCCTTTCAAAAATCTCTTGCCAGCATCATAGAGCCATGGGATTCCAAAGTCCAAATTACCCACGAGAATGGGATCAACCAAGATTTTCAACCCACCAGTTTCCCATAACCAGCTATTTCCCTAACTCACATAACAAAGACATGTCAATCAATATATGCTTATGAAATTACAAATGTTTTAAGCTGTAAAGAGCTCTAAAAACAGCCCAAGTGAAGACAACCCTTACCTCCAAGTATGTGAGCTTGAACGCATCTGTCCCAGAGCCACTAACTCCAGTAGCTCTGTCCTCTGACAGAACTGAAGATACCACAGAGAAAGACGGTGAAACATGCTGCAAGGGCTTGAAGCCGGTGGAGAGGGATCTGGAAGGGCTGTGAGGAGCTGGTGATGATAGCCGAAACGATGCAGGTCGGATTCTTGTTTTGGTGTTGATACTTAGAGGAAGAGCATTGGCGTGAAGTGGCATCGTGCCACGTGACACCACCATAGCCATTGGTTTTGTTTTTGCCACCTGACAATACTCTGAGCAACAATAATTTTTTTTTTCAGTGAGTAAAAAACGAAAAGAGAATCACTTTTGTAGGCAACTCAGTTACACAGTTTCCAAAATCATTGAAAGTCTTCAACTTTTTTACTTTAGAGCTAAGGCTTCGAAGCATCTAACTTTCTTCAACTAAACCTACGAGTTTTCTTCAAATCTAAAAATATTTGATCATAAGAGGAACACGTAATCATCTACGCATTGTAATTTGTATTCATATTCAGTAGCCACGAATTCCAGAAAACTAGAGATCAGAGATAAAAAACAAAGGGATGTTTAAAAGTGAATAGAAACATAGAAAGAAACAGAAGAGGATGAAACCTGATTTTCAGAGTTGAAGAGAGTGTTTTGTGAGAAAGGCAGTCTTCATGTCTCTCTCTTCCTCTATTTTCTCAGTTGAGTTATTGAATGGCTCACAACTCCCCAACACACAAATCATCCCTGAAAATTGGTGGTTAGAGTTCAATTTTCACGTCCTTGCTTCAAAACGCTGCGTTTAAAATATTACCGGTGGTTCTGACCTTGACCGACACGGTTTACTCAAACCAAAATAATTAAAATCTTGATTTTAACTTGGAGAGTGATGGTTATGCCATACATTTGGTTGCAATCTATGAGACACTAAAGATTCTGAAGACACAATCTAAAGTTTCAAACAACATCTTTACTTCTTTAGTGATATGTCAACTTGGCATAGCTTTTGATATTACAATGATGATGAATGACACTCTACTGTGGAGTTTAGGGTCACAGACTCAGGGTATAACGGGTAGAGATCACAACCAGAAACAGAGGATTTCATTGTTGTTCTTGTTTGATCAGTCACACCAGACGTGCTCGAGCTTCCATGTGTATCATCAACATCTCTCAGTTTTAACAAACTCCAGTCTTCTCCATATAAACCAGGATCTGACCTAACCTGTGTTAATTCAATCACTCCCTCCAGCATTTTCACTGCCTCTGACATTGTTGGTCTCAACGCAGGAGATGAGTTTGTGCAAACAAGAGCAACATTGATCATCCTCACTGCCTGTTTTCTGTCGAAATGACCTTCAAGAGCTGGATCTACAACCTCTAGTATGTTCCCTTTCTGATGCAGTGACAACGCCTGAGTTTTTTTCATGTAGAAAACAAAAACAAAAAGAAGTTTCACTAAAGAGAAACTTGTAGACATAAAAGGGAGAAAAGAGGAAGGAAAGCTCTATGGTTACCCAATCAAGAAGTGAGATGTGTTCACCACTTCCCTTGTGTTTAGTGTTACTCTTTCCACTAACAATCTCCATTGCTACAACTCCGAAGCTGTACACGTCTGCTTTCTCTGTTAGTTGACCCCATAGTACATATTCAGGAGCCATATATCCCCTAAATTACAAAAAGAAACCAAGACTGAGCTATTGTGCTGTTTTTTGTTTGTTTGTTTTATGTTAGTGTACTTACATGGTTCCTGCAACTTTGGTGCTAATGTGAGTATGTTCTTCTTCATGGAGTCTAGCCAATCCAAAGTCAGATATCTTTGCATTTAAGTCAGCATCTAGAAGCACATTAGGAGTTTTGATGTCACGGTGAACCATTCTGATCATCGATCCTTCATGGAGGAACTCAAGCCCTCTTGCAATTCCCACACATATTTTCTGTCTTGCTTTCCAGTCCAGTTTCATAGAGCTCTTTCCTGGCAAAACCAAAGATAAATGATGTCTCTTAACAGGTGATAACATGTACAAAAATAAAAAAGCTGAATGAATTTTGATTTACCAGAGAGAACAAGAGCAAGAGAGTTGTTTTCCATGTACTCATACACAAGCATCAACTGATTCTTCTCTACACAACATCCATAAAGTTTGACAAGGTTTGGATGATTCAGACCAGAGATCATTCCTATCTCATTCACAAACTCTCGGTTTCCTTGAGATGACTTGGAAGATAGCTGCTTCACTGCTATGATAGTTCCATCTGGCAGCTCTCCCTGCATTAAAGTTTCAGCCATATCAAAAACCAAATAAACAAGCCTTATTTGACAAGAACTTGGTATATACTTTGAATACGGCTCCGAAACCTCCTTCTCCAAGTTTGTTGGCTTGATCAAAATTGCTTGTTGCAGCTTGTAGTTGCCTCCAAGTAAAGCAAACAGTTTGCAAACCTTGTGCTCTCAGATCTATTGTAATCATATATGCCCATAATAAAATCATTACTAATGCTAAAAAATGAATCAGTCATACTCCAGAAACGGATTCATACCTCGTTTTCTTGTGTTACTGTCTTTTATGAATCTTCTCCGAGCATATATTCCCACAGCTAAGAGAGTAATAGTTACCAAAGAACCTGCTGCTCCCAAAACAAAGGGATAACTAATGTGATATTTCTCCGCTGCAAATGAGACACTAAAAAGTGTAAATATATCAAAAACCAATCTACATAAAGACATTTTTCTATGTGTATATAAGAACCTCCACAGTGTGGATCTAGACCTGAAATTTTAAAAGATGAATACTGTCATTAGGAACCAGTGTGAAGAAGATAATTTGGAGTTAATGGACAGAGACTGAAGCCAGAGAAGAAGGGTTTTTACTGTGACACAAGGAGATGGCAGAGATAAGAGGACCATAGTTTCCTCTGTTTGGAATGAGTGTTGTTCCTTTCCCTGCCCAATACAGACGAATCTCTAACAGATGATCGGTCACATTAACATCTTGCAGCTCTTTAACAACAGGTGTTAGAGTCCCATTAGCCTCCTCTTTGATGTTAAAATCCTTTAAAAACAATTTTCCCTAACATGGTAGAAAGGAAATGGACTTCCAGCCTTGATTAAAGAAGTTCTGTAATCAAATATAGTGACACTTTACCTGAACATAAACGTCAAATATGCGTCTGCCTATACGGCTGTATACTTCTTTTTCTGAAAACTGAATCTCCATAAAATGGAGTTTCACATTGTAGGCTCCATTTTCCAAGCAGAATGCATAGTAGACTAGAGAGAGTGCAGATCGACGTGCGGTCTTATAGAGATGAGGAGAATCTCTAGACAGTTTTAAACTAGTTGAAATGATGAACGTGTCATCAACAGTTGGATCACCGATGAAGTCACCTGTGTTGCTGATTCCCCAGTTTTCTAGGTGATGATTTGTTGCGGCATTGACTTTACTGTTATCTGCTTGATATCTGATTTTACCGAAAGAGTTTCTAATCTTTATTTCTTCTCCACCACAGTTTATATGTAGTGCTCGCTGATCTACAATCAAAACAAAGAGTGGGGATTTAACAAAAAAAAAAAAAAAAACATTATGTCAATATTACTTACAGCTCATGCATTTGACTGGACCAGCGCATGGAAGAAGGTCAGTTCTGTACAAAACCATCACAACATTTAGTTATAACAAAACATTTTATGTTTCCGATTCAAGAATATAATCTTGTTCTTACAAATTTTCCTTCAAAGTTGAGCTCCGGTAAATGTTAATGTTACTGATTCAACAGAAACGTTCAACATGAGCAGGTTATAAAGTATAATACATAAAGATGTTCCATTTCATTTTCATACCTCTTTTCCTGACAACTAGATGACCACGAGAAATTGTTATAAGAGAGATCACTGTAGAGAATCAACAAGAATATTAGTTGGGATGATAACAAGTTTCTCAAAGGCATACAAGCACTTGAAACGTACATATTAGATTTGCTGTTGACGAAAAAAACAGATTCAACGTTTCCAGAAAGCATGTTGCTAGTCAGATAGCTGAAAAAAAAAACAATAATACTCAGTCTATGATAACCTGATAAGCATACTCAACCTCGGGTTGTGACAACGTACGTGTACTGTTTTGCTACTTTTTGTACTTCTTCAACTTCACCAGTCAACTTGTTAAACGATAAATCTCTGCGTTAAAACATTTGTACATGAATATTCTTTGGTACGAACTTAATTGTAATTTATCTTTTACAAAAAAAAAAAAATTAATTGTAATTTAATATATTCTATGCTTGCATACAACTCTCAACAAGAGTGCTCCTTAGGCTATAAACAATTTAAATTTTTAACAAAATTTATTATCATAATTCAGGGACGTAAAACATTTTAAATACAAATGTTTCATTAGGTTTTACCATGACCGGCAGTGACTCTCACAATCTAAACAACTTCTAAAGATCATTTCAAAAAACTTACAGTCTAGTTAGGTTTGGCAAATTCCAAATGTAAGAAGGAATTGGACCAGACAAACCCAAATTCCTCAAAATCCTGGAACACAGAACATAAACATTATTAGTTTGAATTTAAAGAATGAAGACAGAAGAAACGACGAGCTTCAGTGGAAAAAATAAATACAGGGTTTCAATGTGATTGCTGGATAGAATAGGAAATGAGTTTATCCCAGTCATATCACTAATTCTCCTGCGCATAAGAATACATATACATCTCTTAATACATGAGTTTAGTTACCCTTTTGCTAATCTGTGAAAGATAAGTTCAATTACAGATCAATAAGATTTTCTAGGCTGGCCACTACATCAGGAAGTGGTCCTTTCAGTCCACTGGCGTGTAGAAATCTGCTGACCATAATTGATACATGTTAGACCGCACATAAGCAGAAACGACAAAGGAGGAATTAAAAGTTAACACTGAAGAGACAAAGCTTACGTACAGCCTTTTAAGTTGTTTCCAGTTGCCAATATATGCTGGGATGGTTCCACTAAAGTTGTTGTCATTTATCCAACTCCAAAATAAAACAAACAAAAATGTTTACAGAATGTTTTTTGGATTATCTTTCCACATATTTAACTAAAGATTAAACGTTTAGAAAGTGTTAAGGTCAATTTTCACAGCCAAAATACATATACTACGCAGTATATAACAAAAGTGCTCAGCAAGAAAGATTTAAAATTAGGTTTCAGTGCAAAGGAAGACAGCAACTTACAGTTGCTCAAGGTTTACTAGTCTAGCAAGAGTGATAGGCAAGCTTCCTGTAAATTGATTGGATGCAAGATCCCTACAAAATCCAGTTTCAGAAAATATCAAGCACTGTACATTTCTGGCATTAAAACCAATAAAGATTTACATGCAACATATCAAAACTGGTTTGAATATCAACAAAGCCAAAAGTTATCTTACAATTTTACTAGGTTGGTCAAGTTACCAAGCTCATCAGGAATCGGACCATAAAACTGGTTGCCTTCAACCCCTCTGAAAATTTCATGACCATAATGTTCAAAACTAAAGCAACAGAAGTGGGAAACAGTTAGAGACGTACAAGAATTGCAGCTTCTTGAAGTCTTGCAACCAAGTTGGTAAATTCCCAGACAAACGATTCCCGCAGAGCCAGCTGCGTGAAAATTCAAAAAAATTACTCGCAAGTCATGAAGATGGAGCATCAGAGTGAGACAAAGAGAGGGAGCTAACATGAAAGTGAGGTATGGCAATGAAGCCCACTCGAGTGGAATCGTGCCAGTAAGGTAGTTGGCGGATAAGTCTCTACAAATAAGAGAAAAAGACTGGTAAGAAACTTTTGACCAAAAAAAATTACTGGTAAGAAACTTTTCTTATGTTTCTCTTTGTAAATAATCTGACTAGTGGCTACAGGTTTTTGTGATCAATCAAGTTCTAACAATCAACAAAAATCAACTCCCACAAAACGTCTAAACACCTAATCTGACACATCAACAAACTTTCTCTTTAACCTATTGCATGTAAGACCTTTTTCAGCCTCTACTTCTACTTGTAACGCAAAATATGTTTGTTAAATTTATCAAACCCTTGGACTAGCCACAGATTTTATTATAATTTCTACGTGGTAGGACTTACATTGACCGGAGATGTCGAAGCTTGGCCAACTCAGGTGGAACTTTCCCCACAAGAGTAAAATTCACGAGACTTCTGTATTTTTAAATTTTAAAGCAATAAGTAAATAACAAAGATACCGAGATAAAATAGCTCAACAAAAAGAGATACAGAAAAGAAAAAAAGGAGAATAACACTCACAGTTCTGTAATATGACATGTCATGTTGTTGTTGAAGCTACAATCACAAGCAATGGTGTTGTTCACTTCCCCAGGATTCCAAAGAATATCAACTTGTTGTATGATCATTAGACTTTTTGAAATGCATGGGTCTTTGTCACGTAGGTTCACTCTCTTTATACCAAGTGTAGTAGCTATCTCCTCAAGTGCATTCACTGCACAAGTTATTGAGTTTATGTTTGGAAAATTTTATGGATACTGACCTTTGATAGTAGTATACAACAATCAAGATTTTGATTTAATACATTCATCTGGATGAAGGGTTGTTGCAGTGGATGTTGTTAGAGCTGTGATGATGGTGAAAAAGAGAAGGAGAGCCGAGACTAGGATCTGCATCATCTACAGATTAAGTGGACTTGGTTGGTTAGTCACAATCGTTACCATCAAGAAGAGAGAAAATAATTGTGAATGAAAGTTTTTTTTCTTTTGAACTTTGTAATAATGAAAAAATATATTGATAGTTTTTACTTTTGGTCTTGGTCGTCCCCTAGTTTGCTATCACAAAATAGCGATACAACTATAGCCAAGAGTTAATAATGAAGTATTGTACAAGCTGCAATTATTGGGCATGCTACAATTACTGTTCAAGCTGCCATAGTGAACAGTTACATCCTACAGAAAATAGTACAAGACTTTAAAATAAATAAGTAAATAAGAGAGATATTGTACCAGCTGCAATAATTACAGTTATAGCCAAAGATAATAATGGAGTACTGTACAAGCTACAATTATTGAGCAAGCTAGAATTATTGTTCAAGCTGCAATAGTGAACTTTGGAAAATAGATTTCAGCAGCTTTTATACGCAGGGAGATATATAGCGAGTTATCATAGCTATATATATGATATAACTAGGATTAAACATTAGGAATTTTCATGGAAAGATACATATATATAAATGGGCTGCTGACAAAAAAAAAAAAGATACAAAGATATAAAAATAGCCAAGGTAAGTTTTCAAACTTTTTTTAATGAGTTTGAAGTTAAATTTAAGTGAGTAATCCTCACAGGCCTCTCACAAGAGCCAACAACAATGTCCACAACCTTTTGATATTACAATGGCTAGGAAGAAAACTTTGCTGTGGAGTTTGAGGTGGCTGATTCTTGATTAAATGGGGACAGACCATAACCAGACATCGAGGTTACTGATTCTTGCGTCTCCATCAGCTTTGAAAAATTCAAATCATGTCCATACACGGCAGGGCCTGAAAGAATCTGTGGTATTTCCATCTCTCCTTCCAGCATTTTCAAGGCCTCTGACATCAATGGCCGTAAAGAGGGAGTTGCATTTGTGCAAACAAGAGCAACTCTGATCATCCTCTCTGCTTCTTGGCTGTTGAACTCACCTTCTAGCTTTGGATCTACAATCTCCATTATGTTCCCTTTCTGTTGCAGTGTCATGGCCTAAGAGATGGATGTAAACTTATTGTCAAATGAATCATAGATCCAGCTATAAAATAGAGGACAAAGAAAAAGGCAGAAGAGATAGAATGAAAGCTACACAGTTACCCATTTAATAAGTGGGGCGTTGTCATCGCTTCCCTTCTGTGTTGTATTACTCTTCCCACTAACAATCTCCATTGCCACAACCCCGAAGCTGTACACATCTGCTTTCTCGGTCAAGTGACCCAATAAAGCATATTCTGGAGCCATATATCCACTACACCATAAGAGAAATGAAGACATCCTCAGTTCCTCAGAGATGATTTCTTTTAAATGTTTTCAGACATATTAAGAAACACACGTTAAATTTATATGTCATTGTGTGTTTATACAATACTACTTACATGGTTCCAGCAACTTTGGTGCTAATGTGAGTGTGTTCTTCTTCATGGAGCCTAGCCAATCCAAAGTCAGATATCTTTGCATTAAGGTCGGAGTCTAGAAGCACATTGGGAGTTTTTATGTCACGGTGAATCATTCTTATACCAGCTCCTTCATGGAGAAATTCAAGCCCTTTTGCTATTCCCATACATATTTTCTTTCTTGCTGCCCAGTCCAGTTTCAAGGAGCTCTTTCCTGGAAATGGAAGATACGTCATGTCACTTGACAAGATATGTACACTTGAAATAGACTCAAAACGTAAAGAAAAAGCTGAATGCCTTTGATTTACCAGAAAGCACATGAGCAAGGGAGTTGTTTTCCATGTACTCATAGACAAGAAGAAGTTGATCCTTTTCAACACAACATCCATAAAGCTTGACAAGGTTTGGATGATTCAGACCTGAGATCATTCCTATCTCATTCACAAACTCTCGGTTTCCTTGGCATGACTTGGAAGAGAGCTGCTTCACTGCTATGATAGTTCCATCTGACAGCTCTCCCTGCATTAATGTTTCAGCCATATCAAAAACCAAATAAGCAGCATTATTTGAGAAGAACATCATGGCAAATGTTTTAGTAGTATACTTTGAATACGGATCCAAAACCTCCTTCTCCAAGTTTGTTGGCTACATCAAAATTGTTTGTTGCAGCTTGCAGTTGCCTCCATGTAAAGCAAACAGTTTGCAGACCTTGTGCCCTCAGGTCTATATAATGTGATCATGTTCCAAAGAGAAAACCATAAGTAATGATATGAGTAATGAATTCATATACTTTGTGAGCTTTGATACCTTTTTCTCTCTTGTTCTTGTCTCCTCTGCATTTTCTCTGAGCATAGAATCCCAAAGCCAAGAGAATAATTGCTATCAAGGGACCTGTTACCCCAAAAATTAGTGGATAACTGATGTGACGTTTGGTTTTCTCCACTGAAAATGAGACCCTAAAATTGTTAATTCATACACCAATCTACAGAAAAAAAGTTTGTAACAAAGTACATATTTATCTATCTTATGGTACCTCCACAATGTTGCTCCAGGCCTGAAATTTTGAAACATGAACATTATTTATAGGCGACAAAGGAGTAACAAGAATATATAGTCTTAATTAAGTTTGCTCAAGCAGAGGAGAAGTGTTACTTACTGTGACACAAGGAGATTGCAGAGATAAGAGGACCATAGTTTCCTCTTTTGGGTATGAGTGTTGTCCCTTTTCCCGCCCAATACAGCTGAATCTCTAACTTATGATCAGTCACATTAACAGCTTTCAGTTCTTTCACAATAGGCTTCAGAGTCCCATTAGCCCCCTGTCTGATGTTAAAATCCCTCAAAAACAATTTTCCCTGTCAGAAAAGAAAAATGACCAAAGGAAATTAACTTTAATCTTCCAAGCATCTTAGTTAGGTTATAAGAAGCAAATATTCAGTAAACAATGATGCTATACCTGAACATAGACATCAAATATGCGTCTACCTAGACGACTATATAGTTCTTTGTCTGAAAACTGAATCTCCATAAAATGGAGTTTCAAATTATATTCTCCATTTTCCAAGCAAAACGCATAATAAACAAGAGAGAGAGCAGATCGACGTGCAGTCTTATAAAGATCAGGAGAATGTCCAGGTAGTGTTATATTACTTGATATGATGAACGTGTCATCAAGAATATTATCATCCATAAAGTCACCAGTGTTACTTACTCCCCAGTTCTTAAAGTGCTGATTTGTAGCGGCTTTGACCTCACTGTTATTATCAGATTGATATGTGATTTTACCCAAAGAGTTTGTAACTGTTACACTTTCCCCACCACAATTTATATGTAGTGATCTCTGATCTACACCATCAATAGAAAAAGGGAATTAACAAAATGCATCAAATTCTCTAATGCATGTTAGAGGTAAGTTAGAACGGCTCAATATGTGCTTACATCTCTTGCAGGTGACTGGACCAGCGCATGGAAGAAGCCCATTTCTGTATGACAAAACGATCATAGTATTTAAGCATTTGAACAGAGGACTTTCAAAAAAGAATTCTACTAAGCTTTTTCACTGCTGAAGATTAACGCAGAGATCTAGTGAACTTACAAAGTGTTCTTTATATATGAGCTCCGGTATGTATTAATGTTACTGATTCAATACAAAGTGAGAGCATAAACTTCAATATGAGCATGTTATTAAAAAATAGGTACAAATATTTTTGGACCAACCTCCTTTCTTGACAGCCAGACGGCCATGAGAAATTGTTATAAGAGAGGTCACTGTAGAAAACCAACTTGATATTAGTTTACATGACGAATGATTTCTCAAGCCATATAAACAAGGGAAGGCTGAAACCTACATATTTGATTTGCTGTTGAGGTAAACACCAGATTTAATGTATCCGGAAAGCATATTGCTAGTCAAATAGCTGTAATAACACGTCAAAGTATAAACTATCTTTTTTTTAAACACATCTTTGTTGTTATATATCTTAATATTATCTGCGTCTTACGTATATATTGGTGCTACGTTTATATGAAGAACTTCACCTGTCAGCTTGTTAAACGATAAATCACTGCATGATGTCATGAGATCAATGCATGTATCTCACCAGATCAGTACATGTTAAAATTACCAAGTCTTTATCAGATTTCACTAAATCAAACTTACAGAGTTCTCAAGTCCGGCTTACTCCAGATGTAAGAAGGAATTTCACCAGACATACCAACATTCCTCAAGATCCTGAAACAGGGCCGGAGACTTTAGTATGATATCCTCAAATAAAATCAAGCCCCTTTGGGAAAAAACACATACAGGTTTATGATGACTTTGCTAGATATATTTGGAAAGGAATGGATCCCAGTGGTATCACTAATAATCCTGAAAAGGAATATCACAGGTCAGTATATTCATTGCTATAGTCCTTTAGCTAATCAATTAACTAAGAGTAGGTAATACAGGTGGGTAAGGTTTTCTAGGCGGGCAACCGCGTCAGGAATAGGTCCTTTCAGTCCACTTGCTTGTAGATCTCTGTTGATCATAATTGACACAACTTAGATGACTATGAAACACAAACAATAAGAGAAATTATAATGAGTGATGATGAAAAAACTTACAGTCTTTGAAGCCCAGACCAGTTGCCAATATATTTTGGGATGATGCCAGTGAAGTTATTGTCACTTATCCGACTGCGTAGTGTAAATAACAACTAGTTCAAGTGCGTAAACATTCTCAATGTAAAATCTCTAACCAAGAGGTTGTAATTCAATCTAGGTGCCAATATAAAACATTTTATTCTCAGTTTCAAACCAAATGCATCCGCTGGGGAACTTCAAAAACTAACCCATATCCAAGCCTAATTAAAGAGGAGCATTTCCAAAAGGCAAAAAAAAAAGCTTTTTGAGTTAAGCAATGACTTACAATTGCTCAAGGTTTACCAATCTAGCCAGAGAGCTAGGAAGGCTTCCTGTAAATTGATTGGACGCAAGTTCCCTGCAAACCTCAGTTTTCACAAGAGATAGCTAAATACTTAAGTATTTCAATAAAACCAAAGATTCTTGTGGTTTTGGACAATGGGTTAAGTTCCAAAGAGAATCTTACAATCCTGTTAGGGATGTCAAGTTACCAAGCTCATCAGGAATGTGACCAGAGAACTGGTTGGCTTCAACCCCTCTGAAAAATTCATCACATTAATGTAACATAGGCTAATGATTATAAGTCACACTCCTAGAGGCTACAAGTATGAGACTTACAGAAATGTTAGATTCTTGAAGTTTTGTAAACCAGGTGGTAAAGGGCCAGACAAGTTATTCGCGCAGAGGGAGCTGGTCAAAGTTAACTTGCTAATCATGAAATTTTTAGGGCTGGAAAAGAAACAAAGAGAGAGAGAGAGAGAGGGCTGACATGAAAGTGAGGTGTGGCATTGAAGCCCACTCCATGGGGATTGAGCCTGAAAGGTAGTTTCGGCACAAGTCTCTGCAAAGAAGAGCAAAAAGTCACTATAAAATAAATGTTCACGTTCGATGGGAGATTCCCTCGTCTCAGGTTTTCTTAAAAAGACTTATTTAACGCATGAGTCCTCAGTGTCCAACTTAAGGAGATTCAGGGACTGAAGAAGTTATTGTTAATTTTGGAGGTGTCTTAAATCTATGTCCATCAATAATGCCAACATTCATTTGGCCTAACTTTTTTGGATTAGAAAAATTACTTTTGATCAGATAAGAATGTATTTTTAAAAGAAAAAAAAAAATATTGGGGTTTTTGAGGATTTATATAATTAATATACAGACCTCAAACCAATATATATTTCAGTTGTGTTTTACTCTCACATCTTTATTTTCTTTGAAGTTAATTCACATTTGTTCAGTTTTGAAGAATTTTTAAAAACTTTCAAACTGATAACTCCAAAACTCCAAGAACTAAATATTAGATTAATAAAATAATTTTTGAAAAGTATAAAAAAACTTTCGTTTTATAGTTACCAAGCTTTTTTTTGGTCTAATAGTAACCAGATTTTGAACTAGATGTAAGTGACTGAATTAAATCAAATTTATAAATTAATTGTTTATATAAGTAATAATATTATATTATCAAATTTTTCTAATAATATTAGTAAATATTATTTTTACAATATAGGAATAAGATATAATATTGTTAAATTTTGTTTGGAATTATTTTTACAATATAGGAATAAGACATAATATTTTATTCCGAAATTATTTAATTATAGAAAAATATTATAATATTATTCCGATTCTTCAGATTTTAAACATTTTAAAATTTCAATAATTTTTTTTTATTTTGAAATTTTGCACAACTAAAATTAAATCGATAATTCGGTATGTTGAGAACATATTAATTTTTATACCTTATTTTGAGAACATATTAGTTTTTATACCTTATTTTAATATTTAAAGTACTCTGCGATTTTTTTCATTTTTTAAAACAAGGGTTTAGGATATTCTAATCCGTATATGAAACTCTAATTTACGTCTTTGGAAACTTTAGGAAATGAAAAAAATAATGCTAAAATAAGTTTATTTTTGTATAATAGTGTCTACATATATAATACCGCAAAAAGTATGTTATAAATATTCTAAATGTAATTTATGTATGAGTAAGAGAATCTCAATATGTTTAAAAACTCAGTAATAAGATATAAAATTTTAATATATTAAAATGATTCAAATTTCCAGATTCCAATTTCAAGAATATTACGAACCATTGTTGCAAAACCAATGTTGATTGGTAGAGTATTAACATAAACATTATGCTCTCTATTATCCAATCAACATTTGACAAAAAGCATTTAGAAAAATATTTACCAAATGCAAATGCTCTCCATATGTTCTTTGCTCAATGCTCTTATATAGAGCTTTTGGGAAAGCATTTGCATATAGAAAATATAAAACTTAATAGTATTTATATATAAGTAATTTATTTTTGTTTGATAATATAAATTTATATTTTTAGAATTAAATATAAATTTATATTTAAAAAAATAAGAAGAAAAATTATAATTTTTTTAAAAGAACAATATTTCACAATTAAATATAATATAATCTAGATAATTACATATATCATTCATTATTTTTAATAACAAACATAACATAATATAATTTATATATTATCGATATAAACATATTATTTAGACACTAATAAATAAATTATATATTAAATTTTATGATAATTTTATATATATGTCATTTAGTGCTCTACCAATAAATAAATAATAATAATTTATATATAAATTATAATTAATTTATTTATTTATTTAATAATATTAATATATGTTTATATCCAAAAATAATTTAATACTTTAAAAATAAATTTTACATTTCTAAATATAATTTACATAATGAATAAAATTCATGATTTTCAATAAAAATATATATTTTTAAATTATAATTTATATAATTAATATAATTCATTATTTTTAATAAAAACATACATTTTAATATATTATATATATTATAAATATAAATATATATATATATATATATATATATATATTTATATTTATTATTTTAAAAGAAATATATTATTGTACAAACTATTATGATAATTTTAAAATTGTATAATGCTAATGTTCTGCCAATCACTTTATTAAAAACTTTAGTGAAAACATACAGCTTCTGCAGCATACTTCTTTTGCAACATACTGCTATATCATCTGCTGTACCAATCGAGGTCTAATAATCTGTAATAAATTCCAAACTCACATCTTCTGGAGATACCGAAGCTTCGTCAACTCAGGCGGAAGTCTCCCTGGGAGACTTGTGGACTTGAGATATCTGTGGTTTTGCTCAACAAAATAATATCACTAAAAAAGCAGGAAAATTTTTTGAAAAGAGAAGATAACATAATAACAAAACAAAACAAAAAAGATAACATATTAACACTCACATTTCTGTAATATGACATGTCATGTTATTATTGAAGCTACAATCACAAACAATGTTGTTGACAGGCATATCGAAATTCGAAACAACACCACCAAGTTTTAGAGTTTTTAAAAGGCAAGGATCTCCATCACTTAAGTTCAGTCTCTTGATTCCAAGTGTAGTAGCTATCTCCCCAAGCGCTTTTACTACACAAACATTATCGAGTTTATATATGAAATTTTTTTGGATATACTGACCTTTGATATTATAAGAATCAAGTATACATTCATCTGAATGGAGAGCTAGTGAAGCTGATGTTGTTAGAGTCGCAAAGAAGCTTGTGATGATGATGAAGAAAAGGAGAGCCGAGAAGACGAGCCACATTATGGATTCAAAATTTTTGGACTTGTTTTTTTTTTTGAAAAAAGGGCTAATTTTTGGACTTGTTTAAAACTAAATAAGTGTAATAGTAAAAATTGTTGGATAATATCTACTTATATAGGTCTTCTTGGTCGTCGCTAGTAGAAAGTCGCGATACATATATGACAAAGCTAATTAATATTGAAGTTTTTTTCTTTAATTATTGTACAAGTTGCAGCGATGAACAGTTATAGGTCATGAATGACTCATTTCACTTTTCCTCTACGTGTTTTTTCTTTTGATCAAACATTGCATTAACTTAAGAAGGTTTATATTCCATAAGTGGAACTTGTTACAGATAAGGCTAGAGCTGATTTCGCCAAGGCGTCAACTTGGACATTAAAGTTCCGATATCATGTTTTTTCTTTTGCATGTTTCATTATCAACTTTGGAAAGTAGATTTCAGCAGCTTTTATACGCAGGGAGATATATAGAGAGATATCATGGCTACATATAATCTAACCAGGATTAAACATTAGGAATTTTCATGAAAAGGTACATAGATATAAAAATAGCCAAGGTAAGTTTTTATTTTATTTATTGTATTTTTTAGCCAAGGTAATTTTAAAACATTTTTTAATGATATGGAGTTTGAAGTTAAATTTAAGTGTATGATCCCATCTCAAGCCTCTCACAAGAGACCAGGCAATGGTCACAAAGTCAAGTACTAATTGCTTTTTTTTTTACGTATACTTGCTACTTAGTTTACCTTGAACGAGTAATGAATTTTTGAGTTTGTATTTGATTTGATGGAAAAGAGTATTTGTTATTTCGAGTATTTGTCCAAAAATATGTTACTTGCAAGTTAATTGCCTTGTTCGATTACTTACTACTTACAAATAATTATGAATTATTTGGATATATTTCCAACTTTCTAAGAATTACTTGATAAACAATATTAGAATAGGTTATGAAAGTTTGTTTTGTTTACTCGACTTGTACAAACAGGAGAGTTATTTCAAGTAAAATATTGTTTACTTCTTACAAAAAAAGAAATATTTGTTTAGGGATTTGGTTTTCATGGTTTAGTTATCATTTCTTCAGTCTTAAAATAAATAATGAGTACTATCAAGGCGAATCGTTAACATTTTTTGTGATACTTATTACTTGACTTATACTTACAGGTATAAAAACTCAATGACTTGACTTGACAAACAACGAGTAATTGAAAAAACAAAGCGAGTGAGGTCAAGTAACGGCTATACGGCAAATAACGAGTATTCGTGCCCAGTCGTACCTGTTGATATTACAGTAGCTAGGAAGATAACTCTGCTGTGGAGTTTGAGGTGGCTGATTCTTGATTAAATGGGGACAGACCATAACCAGACATCGAGGATGCTGATTCTTGCGTCTCCATCAGCTTTGAAAAGTTCAAATCATGTCCATACACGGCAGGACCTGAAAGAATCTGTGGTATTTCCATCTCTCCCTCTAGCATTTTCACAGCCTCTGACATCAGTGGACGTAAAGAAGAAGTTGCATTTGTGCAAACAAGAGCAACTCTGATCATCCTCTCTGCTTCTAGGCTGTTGAACTCACCTTCTAGCTTTGGATCTACAATCTCCATTATGTTCCCTTTCTGTTGCAGTGTCATGGCCTGAGATGGATGTAAACTTATTGTCAAATGAATCATAGATTCATTTATAGAGTTGAGGACAAGAAAAAAGCTGCACAGTACCCATTTAATAAGTGGGGCGTTGTCATCGCTTCCCCTTTGTGTTGTATTACTTTTCCCACTAACAATCTCCATTGCCACAACCCCAAAGCTGTACACATCTGCTTTCTCAGTCAAGTGACCCAATAAAGCATATTCTGGAGCCATATATCCACTACACCATAAGAGAAATGAAGACAAACTATTATATATATATGTTTCTATGCCATGATGTGTTTATACAATACGTCCTACTTACATGGTTCCTGCAATCTTGGTGCTAATGTGAGTGTGTTCTTCTTCATGGAGCCTAGCCAGACCAAAGTCAGATATCTTTGCATTAATGTTGGCGTCTAGAAGCACATTAGGAGTTTTGATGTCACGGTGAATCATTCTGATTGCAGCTCCTTCATGGAGGAACTCAAGCCCTCTTGCGATTCCCACACAGATTTTCTTTCTTGCTGCCCAGTGCAGTTTCAAGGAGCTCCTTCCTGTAAATGGAAGAGACATGATGTCACATATGTCCACTTGAAATAGACTAAAAACGTTAAGAGCTGAATGACTTTGATTTACCAGACAGCACAAGAGCAAGGGAGTTGTTTTCCATGTACTCATAGACGAGCAGAAGTTGATCCTTTTCAACACAACATCCATAAAGCTTGACAAGATTTGGATGATTCAAACCTGAGATCATGCCTATCTCATTCACAAACTCACGGTTTCCTTGGCATGACTTGGCAGAAAGCTGCTTCACTGCTATGATAGTTCCATCTGACAGCTCTCCCTACATTATGTTTCATCCATATCAAAAAACAAAAAAAAAACTGCCTTATCTGAGATGAACTTGGCATGTGTTTTACTATACTTTAAATACGGATCCAAAACCTCCTTCTCCAAGTTTGTTGGCTTGATCAAAATTGTTTGTTGCAGCTTGCAGTTGCCTCCATGTAAAGCAAACTGTTTGCAAACCCTGTGCTCTCAGATCTATTGTGATCAGGTTCCAAAGAGAAAATCATAAGTAAATTGTATATGTGTAATGGATTCATATACTTTGTGAGCTTTGATACCTCTTTCTCTCTTTTTCTTGTCTCCTCTGCATTTTCTCTGAGCATAGAATCCCAAAGCCAAGAGAGCAATTGCTATCAACGGACCAGTTACCCCAAAAATTAGTGGATAACTGATTTGACGTTTGGTTTTCTCCACTGAAAATGAGACCCTAAAAGTTTTAATCTACACACCAATCTAGAGAAAGAATTTGATAACAAAGTATTCATTTTATTTGTATTATATGAGACCTCCACAATGTTGCTCCAGGCCTGGAAATTTAAAACATGAATATTATTTATACGTGATAATCAAGAATAGTCTTAAGTTTGCTCAAGCAGAGGAGAGTGTTACTTACTGTGACACAAGGAGATTGCAGAGATAAGAGGACCATAGTTTCCTCTTTTGGGTATGAGTGTTGTCCCTTTTCCCGCCCAATACAGCTGAATCTCTAACTTATGATCAGTCACATTAACAGCTTTCAGTTCTTTCACAATAGGCTTCAGAGTCCCATTAGCCTCCTGTCTGATGTTAAAATCCCTCAAGAACAATTTTCCCTATCAAGGAAATGAAATTCAATCTTCTTAGCAACTTATATAAAAGGCAAATATTCAGTAAACAATGAAACTATACCTGAACATAGACATCAAATATGCGTCTACCTAGACGACTATATAGTTCTTTGTCTGAAAACTGAATCTCCATAAAATGGAGTTTTAAATTATATTCTCCATTTTCCAAGCAAAACGCATAATAAACAAGTGAGAGCGCAGATCTGCGTGCAGTCATATAAAGATGAGGAGAATCTCCAGATGGTGTTATATTAGCTGAAATGATGTATTTGTCATCATCTTCTGAATCGTCCATATAGTCACCAGTGTTACTAATTCCCCAGTTCTTGAAGTGGTTATTTGTAGCCGCTTTGACTTCACTGTTATCAGCTTGATATGAGATTTTACCAATAGAGTTTGTAACAGTTACAGCTTCCCCACCACAATTTATATGTAGTGATCTCTGATCTACACCACCAATAGATAAAAGGGAAATAACAAAAGTTAATGCATCAAAATTCTCTAATGCATGTTAGAACGGCTCAATATGTGCTTACATTTCTTGCAAGTGACTGGACCAGCGCATGGAAGAAGCCCAGTTCTGTATGACAAAACGATCATAGTATTTAGGCATCTGATCAGCAGAGAACTTTCAAAAAATTTCTACTAAGTTTTTTCCACTGCAGAAGAGTAAACTTACAAAGTGTTCTTTAAATATGAGCTCCGGTATGTATTAATGTTACTGATTCAATACAAAGCGAGAGCATAAACTTCAATATGATAATTTTTATTCACAAATATGGACAAATTATATTTATGAACCTACCTCCTTTCTTGGCAGCTAGATGGCCATGAGAAATTGTTATAAGAGAGGTCACTGTAGAAAACCAACTAGAAGATTAGTTTACATGAAGAAAGATTTCTCAAACCATACAAACAAGGGAAAGGCTGAAACGTACATAATTGATCTGCTGTTGAGGTAAACACCAGATTTAATTTCCCCTGAAAGCATATTGCCAGTCAAGTAGCTGTATGAACGAACACATCAAAACACTAAATCATCCTTGTGTGATTCTTAATTTTGGTTATATTATCTCAAACATTATATGCTTCTTACGTAAGTGTTTTTGCTAAGTTTAGTCCAACAACTTCACCGGTCAACTTGTTAAACGATAAATCACTGCAGCAAAACAACATAAAGTCTGAAAATCTTTGAGTAAATTCTGCATAAAGTCTTTTTCCAGATTTCACTACAACAAACTTACAGAGATCTCAAGACCGGTTTGCTCCAGATGTAAGCAGGAATTTGACCAGACATACTCACGTTCCTCAAAATCTTGAAACGGGACGGAGACTTTAGTTTGACATCCTCTAATAAAATCAAGCTTCATTGTAAAACACACATACAGGTTTGTGATGACTTGGCTAGTTATATTAGGAAAGGAGTTTATCCCTGTTATATCACTAATAATCCTGAAAATGAATATTAGAGGTCAGTATATTTATTTCAATTGTACTTTTACTGATCAGTTAGTTTGAGGTAGTTAATTACAGCTCCTTAAGATTTTCTAGGCGGGCCACTACGTCAGGAAAAGGTCCTTTCAGTCCACTTGCTTGTAGATCTCTGTTGATCATAATCAAACATAACTTAGATGATATTAAACACACAAACTGTGAGAGAATTTACATTTAATGATTATGAAGAAGCTTACAGTCTTTCAAGCCGAGACCAGTTGCCAATATATTCTGGGATGGTTCCAGTGAAGTTATTGTCACTTATCCTACTGCATAAATAGTGTAAACAAACAGCTATTTCACTTCCTTGCAGGTCTCAAAGCAAAAGCTCTAGCCAAGAGGTTACAATTCAATATCTAGGTGCCAATATACGGATATTTTACAAACTTTCAAACCTAGTGCATCTGCTGAGAAGCTTCACAAATTTAGTCAAATCCAAACAAAATTAAAGAAGAGCATTTCCCGCTTAAAAAAAGTTTTTGAAAACTGTAGTTGCTAAGTGTAGCAATAACTTACAATGTCTCAAGGTTTACCAGTCTAGCAAGAGAGCTAGGAAGGCTTCCTGTAAATTGATTGGACACAAGGTCCCTGCAAAAATCCAGTTTTTAAGAAGAGATTATAGCTAAAGACTTGACTAATTTGCAATTAAACCAAAGATTTTTTTTTGTGGTTTAGGACAATAGTTAAGATGCAAAGGGAATCTTACAATCTTGTTAGGTTGGTCAAGTTACCAAGCTCATCAGGAATGGGACCAGAGAACTGGTTGGCTTCAACCCCTCTGACAAATCCATCACATTAATTTAATATTAGACTAATGATTAGAAGTCACACTCCTAGAGGGTATACAGGTATGAGACGTACAGGAATGTCAGACTCTTGAAGTTTTGTAAACCAGGTGGTAATGGCCCAGACAAACGATTCGCGCAGAGCGAGCTGCAAGAAAGCAAAAAGATTAAATCATGAAGATTGCAAGAGAGAGAGAGAGAGAGAGAGAGAGAGAGAGAGAGAGAGAGAGAAAGAGAGAGAGAGCTGACATGAAAGTGAGATTTGGCAATGAAGCCCACTCCATTGGGATTGAGCCAGAAAGGTAGTTTCGGCAAAAGACTCTGCAAAAAAGAGCAGAAACTCACTATAAAGTGTTCACATGGGAGATTCTCAAAAACAAAAAAAGAAGTTCGAACCTCTGTTTATTCTGTTTTGAATTAGTCCCAAAGTTGAATTGTGTTTTACAAAAATATAACAACTCAATCCTCTTATTTTTGGTTGACTTAGCCATTATGGATACTAGGTAAGAGGTTGTACTTAATGTGGTATGATATAAATGATAACTTTGAAAAAAAAATCAATACATTTTAAAATTTATTTATCTCCATGTTAGACAGATCAACCAAATCACTTTTGTTACAAAAAAAAATCACAAATGACTATTTGTTTGTTTAATGAAAATACGTATTCGTTTAGGGTGTTTTAAATTTTCCCTCTATATAAATAGATTATATATGAACCATGGTTTGTTGTATTCAAAAAAAAAAAAACCATGGTTTTGCAAAACCAACGACTAATCAACGATTCTGTAAATAAATTCCAAACTCACATCTTCTGGAGATACTTAAGTTTGGCCAACTCAGGCGGGAGTTTCCCTGAAAGACTTATGGACTTGAGAGTTCTGTGATTGCTCAAAAAAGAAACTATTAGAAAATATGAGGATAAAGATTTGATAAGAGAAGACAAAAGATTCACACTCACATCTCTGTAATATGACATGTCATGTTGTTGTTGAAGCTACAGTTACACGCAATGATGTTTTCAGCCATATCCGAATTCGAAACAACACCACCAAGTTTTAGAGTTTTCAAAAGGCAAGGATCTCCATCACTAAGGTTCAGTCCCTTGATTCCAAGTGTAGTAGCTATCTCCCCAAGCGCTTTCACTGCACAAGTTATCGAGTTTATATATGGAAAGATTATGGTTACTGACCTTTGATATTATAAGAATCAAGATTTTGCATTTAATACATTCATCTGGATGGAGAGCTGGTGAAGCGGATGTTGTTAGAGTGGCCAAGAAGCTTGCGGTGATGGTGAAGAACAGAAGGAGAGCCGAGGAGACGGTCCACATTATCAATTGTAGACTTGTTTGATTAGAATAAGTGTAATAGTGAGAGGATATTATCTACTTATAGGTCTTCTTGGTCGTCGCTAGTAGTAAGTCGCGATACATATAAGGACCAAAGCTAATTAATATTGAATTATTGTACAAGTTGCATTGGTGAACAGTGTAGGTTCATAAATGACTCATTTCTTTTCATAGTTCCAAAAGTATCATTTAAAAAATATTATGAATGTTTCTTTTTAGGATTATGAAACTAAAAAGTTTTTTTTTTTGTAAAAGAAAGAAAGTAAAAGATTTTTCAATTTTGTGTAGCGACTCTTCATAAAATATATATATAAATGACTTTTAGGAAAGTTATAGGAAAGAGAGTTTGATTCAACATCCACTATATAGTAAATACTTCGAGTTTTGTTTTTATCAAATATACTTCGAGTTTGACAAACATTTACAGAGATGTGTTTTGGATCTATGTAAATTAACCTAGTAATAAGATTTCAGACAACTTTGATGATATGACTATGTAGTAAATCTAACTATAAGATTACTACACAGGCCTTTCTTTCCTCTTAAGAGATATAAGGACTCGTGCACATCTTTTGATATCACACCGACGAGGAAGAAGAATGAAAAACAATCTCCACATGAGTTACCCAATTGATAAGTGAGACGTGATCATTAGCACTTCCCTTGTATTTAGTATTACTCTTACATGGTTCCTGCAATATCTTGGTGCTAATGTGACTATGTTCTTCTTCTTGGAGCCTAGCCAAACCAAAGTCAGATATCTTTGCATTTAGGTCAGCATCTACAAGCACATTTGTTGTCTTTATGTCACGATGAACCATCCTCACTATGGATCCTTCGTGGAGGAATGCAATCCCTACACATATTTTTTTGTCTCACTGCCCATTCCAACTTCCTTGAGCTCTTTCCTGGAAATGATAACTACGTTATACAGAGAGATATGTACACTTGAATTAACTCTCAAGACGTAATGCCAAGATGGATGACTTTTAATTTAATTACCGAATAAAGCAAGAGCAAGGGAGTTGTTTTCCATGTACTCATAGACGAGAAGAAGTTGATCCTTTTCAACACAACATCCATAAAGCTTGACAAGGTTTGGATGATTCAGACCAGAGATCATCCCTATCTCATTCACAAACTCACGGTTTCCTTGGCATGACTTCGCAGAAAGCTGTTTCATGCCTATTTGGTCCTTTTCTTGGTAAGTCAACTCTTTTTCACCTAGGTAATTTTGTTACTGGACTAGTTGTGTAATAATAACTCCCAAAACCATTTTTACAAATTTTAACAGTCAGATCATTTTACAAAAAAAAAAAAAAAAAATAGAGAAGACAGTAAATTGGAAACCTATTCAAGTCCCTGACTCATCATGCTTTCTTTCTTGTCTCACATGAGTCTCGGAAGAAGAAGAAGGATAACTGTTAAGAGAAAACTGAGTCTTACTGCTATTCTCCTCCATGCCTTTCTTTACATCTTTGAACGCCTTAAACCTAATATCCCCTGATTTCCTGCTTGTTCCCGGTGTTGGTTCCGGCACTGGACAGTGACCTTCCAGCATACCAACCACCTCTGACATTATAGGACGATCTGAAGCAGAAGCGCTTGTGCACACGAGAGCCACTTTTATCAACGTCTCTGCTTCTTTCTTGTCTACTTCAGGTCTCAATCTCTCATCCACAACTTGCATCAAGTCCCCTGACTCTTCACACTCCATAGCCTACAGATAAACATCAAAAGGGTTTATCAAGAAAACTGCCTTATAAGTAAATAAGATCTTGGGGAAATTACCCATTCCAAGAGGCAGACGTCATCTCCTGCCGCCATGAAACTACTGTTGTTTATGCCAGCGACTATCTCTAGAACCAAGACACCGTAGCTGTAGACATCTGCTTTGAAAGATAAGTAACCCCACAGTGCGTACTCTGGTGCCATATATCCTCTGCAGAGGTTCACTTATGGTTAACAAACAAACCGTAATTGTAATTAAAAACAAAACCGTAACTGAGCGGGCTGTCTCAGGTCTTACATAGTCCCAGCGACTTTGGTGCTGACGTGAGTATTCTCCTCTTCATCAAGCCTAGCCAATCCGAAATCAGATATCTTGGGAGTTAGATCCTTGTCCAATAAAATATTAGTGGCTTTGATGTCTCTATGTACAAACTTCAACGGTGATTCCTCATGGAGAAACGCTAGACCTTTAGCAATCCCTGTGCAAATCTTAAACCTCGTAGGCCAGTCCAGTGGAATCTGTTTATGCTTTGGACCTAAAACATGGCAAAAACAAACACATTTTCTTTAAAGCATAAGGAAAAAGCTTTTGGAAACAAAAAAAAAGACAACTCACTGAATAAGGCGTGAGCTAAACTGTTGTTTTCCATGTATTCATACACCAGCAATAGCTGAGACCGCTCAACGCAGAAGCCATGAAGCTTGACGAGGTTTGGATGTTGCAGACAAGAAATTGCGCCAATCTCGTTTAGAAATTCTCGGTTCCCTTGTCTTGATTTAGATGAAAGCTGCTTAACTGCTACAACTCTTCCATCTGATAACTCACCCTACAAAAAATGAGTTTATATTATCAGCATGCACTGCACTATATAACACGAATCAATCTCATCATGTGATCTTTTACCTTAAACACAGGACCAAAACCTCCTTCTCCAA